CCCCCCCCCACACACACACTACTCAGTCTTGCTTATCCTCTCTTTTCATGGTGACACACGGGTCTACTTCCATTGGAAGACTCCCTAGGGGACACTGAGCTGTTGACATTGTCTTCTCTACCAAATTGGCTCCTCTGAATTCCTTGGGCAGGCCAGCCAGGAAGCCTGGAGATTCATCAGCAGGTCTTCCTCCTTGGGGCTAGACTTAGTCCATCTGTCCATCCTGATAGCCCTCACTTTCCGTCCAGGCCATCAGCTCTCATTTGAATGATATCAACAGCCTTCTTCCTAACTGAGATCCTCTCCCCTGTCTCTCCCTCCCCAATTCCGTCTTTCTCAGGCCTCCGGAATAATTTTTTTTTAACAGAAAGATGACATTTTGTCTTTCCCTTGCTTAAAGTCCTTCCATGACTCCCCAATATTTAGGGAGAACCAGAAGCCACAGTTATTTGTAGAACACCATAAACTATTGATATATTAAACTTAAAATTGTAAACAAAACAAAGCAAAACTATGATTCTATGCTAACTCTATCATTCTCTCACACTATTGACGTGTACTAAAGTCTTCAGAAAAATGTATGGAGGAAAAACACCTTCAAACAAAGAAAATTCTATTCATTGTAATTAATCTGCCTTCTTGCAAATTAGAAAAAGATGGCTATCTTTTAATTCAATGGCAGAACCCCTCAGCTTGGCTTGAGGAATACCTGGGTTCCTCTAGGGGCACAGTTTGAGAACTACTAATGGAGGTGTTCAAGTCCGACTGTCCTGGCCTTGCACTCAAGACTCTGTACTGACTCCCACGTTGTCTTTATCTCCTGCTGTTGGACTGTGCACAGCCTATGATCCAACCATACCTGATACCCACCTTTCCCAGCTCTTCCATGTCTTGTGCCCTTATTCAGGCTCCTCCTTCTGCTTGAAATGCTTTTCCCTGCCTTGCCTACCCCGGAAACTCCAGGTTCAGATGTCATTTCTTTGATGTTGTTTCCTGACCCCCTAGGCTGAGTCAATGCCTGCTGCCTTTATGTTTTCTCTGGATTGGTGTTTTGGCCTGTAGGACACAGTCTCTTATTTATTTATGTGTCCTCTTCTCCCTCCGGCAAGATTGGGGCACATGTGGTGCATCTCCAAGGCGCTAGCACCCAATATGGGGCCTGGCACAGGGTAAGTGCCATAAATATTCCATGAGTTGAAGGTAATGGAATTTCTTCATGGCCTGGCCCTGTCTGTGGTGCCATCTCCTTTTCCCTAGATTTGGGCGGGTCATTCCAGGCCAGGACTTTCCTTCTCCCTTCCCTCTTCTCTTAAGGATTATGGAAGTTTGTGGTCTTTTTCAAGTGAAGCAGAATGTTTCCTTTTCATCTGTCCACCTGTTGCTTGTGTTCTGTCCTTCCCTCCATCACAGTCTCTGCCCTGTAGACTTCCCCTACACAAAGAGTGAAGGGGGTGGAATCAGTCAGGCCTGGGTTTGAGTCCTGGTTCACCATTTATTTAACTGTGTGACCTTGGACAAATGTCTTATGCTCTCTGAACCTCAGTTTCCATATCCAAAAAAATGGGATCAGTGGTAAATTCTCAACATGACGTCCTGCAAGAGTCCTCTGCAAACAGCAGCATCCTTGATTGCTTCTTCTGTTCTCCAGATTTCTCTCCTCGAGTTTCCTTTTCTGGCTGGTCCTTTCTGTCTCTTCTCTGCTCCAGCATCTCTCTGTCTCCATTTCTTCCCCATCACCTTTTCTTGTTTCTGTCTCTCTCTCCCTGTGACTCTCTGTCTGGTTAATTCTCTGTCTCTGGTTCTTGCCTGCTGTCTCTTTGGCCCCTTCCCTGGCTCAGCCTGGAGCTCATCAGTGCTCACAAGAGAGGAGACCTAGAGCCTGGGAGCCTTCAGTCCTGCTTCCTTTAGGCCCAGAGCAACCTCAGATGTGCCAGCCTCAGTGCAGAGCCGGCCAGGAGTGGAGGCAGTGCACAGTGCATATGTAGGGAGGGCCTGGATACACCTTCAACCCCTGGGCTCTGTCCAGTGTCACTGCCTGCTAGTTAGACCCATGTGCCCACAAGTCCCTCTGCTTCCACAATCTGTTCTTCACTCAGCTGCTTGGGAGATTTTTTAAAAAATGAGAGATCGGAACTTTTACTCTTCTGCTTAATGCTCCAATGGCTTCCCACTGCTCTTAAGGTTTAACCCAAAGACCCATAGTTTCTTGCACGAACGGTAGGGCCTGCTGGCCTCTCCAGCTGCACCTGGCTCCCCTTCCCTCCCCACTCACTCCATTCCAGCCACCCTGGCCTTGCTGTTCCTCAAACCCAACAGCTCTAGCCTTTGCATAGGCTGTCCCCTCTGGCTACAGTGTTCCTCCCCGCTGATTTGCTGGTTCCTTCTCATGCTTCAGGTCTCAGCTCAGATGTCACCACGTCACTTCCTCAGGGAATCCTTCTCAGATCACTTTAGCTAAAGTAGACCCCCTCCCATTATTTATTACAACACTCCATCCATTTCTCTTAGAGTGCACATCTCAGACTGTAATTATATATTTACTTGCATGTTTGCTGTTGGTCTCTCCCCCTAGAATGAAAGCTTCACGAAGGCAAGGTCCATGTCTATATTCATTCATTTATCTATTCGGTATTTATTGAGCACCAACTACATGTCAGACACCAAGCACTGGCGTACAAGACCAAGTCCTTGCCCTCAGGGAACTCGTGTTCTAGAGGTGGAGACAAATAATGAATATATCACATAGTAGGTGCTCTGTTTAAAACTGTAGTAATCCCCTTCTCCCTCGCTGTTTCTCCCCATTTCTCTGGTACATCACTGTCTCATATACCAGAGAATTTGCTTTTTTCAGTTGTTTGTTGTTCTTGTTTTAGCACTAGAATGTAAGCTCCACGAGGGTAGGAATGTTTGTCTATTTAATTCTCCACCTTGGCTTATAGTAATTGTTGAGTAAATGAATCAGTATCTGGTATTGTTGATTTGTTCCAAAAGGGAGGCAGGTCTCAGCCCCTATTCAAGTCAAGCCTGATGGCCTTGATTCAAATCTTGGTGCTGCCACATATTAATGCATAACTTGGAAAAGTCACCTTCTCTCTCTGGACCTCAATTTCCTCAACTGTGTAATGGGAATAATAGTGATGAGGATTAAATG